CCCCAAATGAAACGCGTTCACCACCACTGGCTTTTATGTCCAGAGTTTACCTACTTTGAGATTCGGTAATTCCGAACATAAGTATTATTGTTATATAGCTAGCGTGAACACCAAACGTGATTGGCTGATTTGTGGTCACGTGACTTCAGATAAATGCAATGTTTCCCGCCGGGCAACAAGTGAAAAATTGTTGCCCGACTGGCCACGTACATAAATAAACAAAATGGAGGCACAACTCAGATAATGAGAAACTACGATTTTCCAAGTTTGTGTTCAAATAAAGAATATAAAAGAGAAGAAAAATACACAACAGGCAACAGGATATGCTGCTGAAACCGTTTAAGTAGGTTCTTTTAATTTTAAACTCGTAATTTACACTATAGAGTTTTCGTCACGAAATACAATTGTTGTATAAATGTTGTTGAAGTTGATTTTTGTTCGTCGCTATATAACAAAACACTTAATGCCTGTTCCCTCGGGAAATAGTTAGTTTTGTTTTCCCTCGAATCTTAATGTTTCCCACGACTTCGTCTCGGGAAACATTGAGATTCTCGGGAAAACAAAACTAACTATTTCCCTCGGGAGCAGACATTAAGTGTATATTATTATAGCACAAGTTATTGCTAACAAACTAACGATAATGCATGTGGCGCGTGGAACTCTAGCAGCGAGTTGATCGTTCCGCAAAACTACCAAATTTTCACCTTATTTCTCGATTATGTTTTAAAATCATAAAAGAATTGTGGATCTTTGGGAAAGTGAAGTTGGTTTCTAAAATTTCAATTTGCGCTGTACTTTGTTGAATTAGTTGTCAAATTGAACTAAGATTTTACAGTAACTTTGAATTAACCGCCTATACCATTCAACTGATATTGTGAATTTATATGTTGTAATTTTATCACTGAAAAGCCCCTTCAGGGAAGCGTCAAGAAAGTCAAATATCAAACTCTTTGTCTTTCTTTGCTTGAACCCATCAGTTGGAGTGTGCTGCTTATTTTCGACAGCTATACTTGAAATACGTAATTAAATAACTTGTGACCATCAAAAACAATGAACAATATAAACTCTCCAAAACCGTGAGTGTATTCCGTGAGTGTATAGATAATGTAGACTGCGAGCGGTCCCTCCTTTCTGCGGGTTTAGATTTCCGGGCATGCGAAAGGAAAGGAGGGACTGCGCCCACACAACGCAAAATTCCCATTGGTCGAAATCGATACGCCTGTCAATCAAATGTGATATGTAGTATAATTATGCTATAAATAATTTCCAGAGTGAATGTTGATTTTATACAGGGTGTATCAAAATAAAAGAAATCAAAGGCTTCAGCGCGCTATTGTGTCTGAATTACTGCGTATGAACGAGATTTTTTCATCTTTGGAAAGATCTGCAGGCTTTTAATTAGCTGTTGAATGATATGTTCTTTATGCCAAATGGATAAAAAATAAGCAAGTACGAGTCCAATAAAAAATGCTACTCAGAATCGCATATTTTCACCGTTGTATTCGGTACTTATTAAGTTGACGAATTTCACTTCAGTAAACTATACGCACATATTCATAATTATTATTAAGTAGGAATAAACCTTATCAAAGCTACGACAAGTTCGTGTGATTAATTGCTTTTTCTTTTGTTATGCACTGCTTTATTAAATTAGGCACAGAGGTAAAAATATGCGATTCTGACTAACATTTTTTATCGCACTCATACTTGCTTATTTTTTATCCACTTGGCATGAAAAATATGTCATTCAACAGCTAGAAGCCTGATCTTTTCGAATATGAAAAGAAATGTGTTCGTAAGCCGAGTAATTCAGGTACAATAGCGCGCCGAAGTTCGATTACCTTTTTTTATACAGCCTGTAAATAAACATGACAAATGTTCAAATTGGATAGATTTAATTGGATATAAGTAATGTTTATGCAAAGGCGGAGCCAATTTGACAAGAGCGAAAAGTGGGCGTATTTCGTTTCTTGATGTGTTGTCGGCGGTGGGTTAGGATAAAACGCGGATACGGACGGACGGATGGATGGCGGACGGACGGACGGACGGATGAGTGGCGGACGGACGGACGGACGGATGGCTTCCAAAAAACGTTTTTCAGCCTTTTTTAAGCCATATCCGCGTTTTATCCAAAAGGGTATCCAAAAGGATAAAACGCGGATATGGTCCAAAAAACGTTTTTCAGCCTTTTTTAAGCCATATCCGCGTTTTATCCAAAAGGGTATCCAAAAGGATAAAACGCGGATATGGTCCAAAAACGTTTTTCAGCCTTTTTTAAGTCATATCCGCGTTTTATCCAAAAGGGTATCCAAAAGGATAAAACGCGGATATGGTTCAAAAAACGTTTTTCAGCCTTTTTTAAGCCATATCCGCGTTTTATCCAAAAGGGTATCCAAAAGGATAAAACGCGGATATGGTTCAAAAAACGTTTTTCAGCCTTTTTTAAGCCATATCCGCGTTTTATCCAAAAGGATAAAACGCGGATATGGTCCAAAAAACGTTTTTCAGCCTTTTTAAGCCATATCCGCGTTTTATCCAAAAGGATAAAACGCGGATATGGTCCAAAAAACGTTTTTCCAGCATTTTTAAGCCATATCCGCGTTTTATCCAAAAGGGTATCCAAAAGGATAAAACGCGGATATGGTTCAAAAAACGTTTTTCAGCCTTTTTTAAGCCATATCCGCGTTTTATCCAAAGAGGGCATATCGATATGTGTAAAGAATATTGAATATTGTCCTAGAATTTGAACAAATAAAAACCAATAATATGTCTCTTCGCTTAAATACTTACTGCGAGACTAGAAGAGTTCTAAAATTACAATTTAGTGTTAATAAAGTTTTAATTCAGTGTCAGTTATCTGGTATGTAGTACTCCAATTTTATGCCAACGTAATGTGCTGCTTTTTAAAGGCTTTGATATCAATGCAGTTATCGGTTTAAATATACCTACAATTCGAAGATATGACAATTGCTGTACGGCCTACTTACTATACGTAAACGCAAATTACAATTGCAACGTTCATCCTTAATTCTCTCTGTTATCTGGGCATGTAGTAATGTAATTTTATGCCACTGCAATGTGCTATTTTTCAAGGGCTTTTCAATGCAGTTATCGCAACTTATCGGTTTAAATATACCTAAAATTCCCGTTAAGATATGACAATTGCCGTACGGCCTACTTTTACGCGAACGCAAATTACAACTGCAACTTTCATGCTTAATTTCTTCTGTTATCTGGGCATGTAGTAATGTAATATCATGGCAATGTAAGGTGCTATTTTGCTAGGGCTTTTCAATGCAGTTATCGGTTTAAATATACCTAAAATTGCCGTTAAGATATGACAATTGCCGTACGGCCTACTTTTACGCAAACGCAAATTGACAACTGCAACTTTCATGCTTAATTTTTTCTGTTATCTGGGCATGTAGTAATGTAATTTTATGCCAGTGTAAGGTGCTATTTTGCTAGGGCTTTTCAATGCAGTTATCGGTTTAAATATACCTCGAATTCCCGTTAAGATATGACAATTGCCGTATACGGCCTACTTTTACGCAAACGCAAATTGACAACTGCAACATTCATGCTCAATTTCTTTTGTTATCTGGGCATGTAGTAATGTAATTTTATGCCAACGTAAGGTGCTATTTTGCTAGGGCTTTTCAATGCTGTTATCGGTTTAAATATACCTCAAATTCCCGTTAAGATATGACAATTGCCTTACGGCCTACTTTTACGCGAACGCAAATTACAATTGCAACTTTCATGCTTAATTTTCTCTGTTATCTGGGCATGTAGTAATGTAATTTTATGCCAATGTAAGGTGCTATTTTGCTAGAGCTTTTCAATGCAGTTATCGGTTTAAATATACCTAAAATGCTCGTTAAGATATGACAATTGCCGTACGGCCTACTTTTACGCAAACGCGAATTACAATTGCCACTTTCATGCTTAATTTTCTGTTATCCGGTCGTGTACTTTATGCCACTTTGGCAACACGGCCGGATAACAGAGAAAATTAACTCTCTTTCGTTTGGCGCCGAAATATAAACCAGGTTGAAACCGACCTTGTATTTTGCAGGTTCTTATCTTCGGTTCAGTGCATGTTATGTAGCAAATCTTAATCCAATTGGAGCAAAGTCAAATTGAACATGTTCAAGGATTAAAGCATACTGGTCGACACAAATTCCCTTGAATTGAACTACGTTCACATGATGTAGTTTTGAAAGAAGCCTCGCTTCTTTGACTAACGATTCGGTCTCCCCTCAGTCATGGCTAGAGTCTACCAGCTTCTTGACAACGAATGTTCTATCGTTCTC